TCTACCGCCGCTGCTTGGAGCGGCGGTACGCCAGCCAATCTAAAAGAGAATAGGGAAAGGACTCGCATTTTAGAAGACTTTTACGATCCGATGGCTTTATCGTCCTCTCCGGCTCGTCGGTAGATTGTGGCGTTCGCCCCGATGGGACATGTTCCGAAATTACTGAGTAAATGGTCAGCCACGGACATCCGAAGCTCGCAAGAGCGAAGATTGGAGGAAATATCTACTCGCAGCTTATGGCACTTCGCTGTTCATTGGGAGCTCGATGCGGGGTAGTTTAAGCGCCTACAGACCGTACAATCGCCGCCCCACCCCCGTCCCGCCATGGCTGAGAGGTGTAATACCTGAGTTTGATCCTGAATCCTGAGGCCTATAACATCTGCCACGTAAGTGGTACCCCGAGTAATATTACGGCCAGGCCTACTGGGCATCATGCCATGTCCACTGTCTGGACCCTGGTTAAGTGAGATGACTCTGGAGAGTTAGATAGGTTCAGTTCTAGCAGCTGCTAATGTGCAGTACTGTGGTTGTGAAAACGGTGGTGGTCCACTGGTGGGTATTCAAAAAGATGAAAGGTTCGCATTGTCTGTCGTGGATTGGCTGGAGGCTAATGTCAATCAAAACGCTTTCCGATAGCTACGCGACAATGGCGGATCATGATAGAAGAGGCATAGACGACTGCCCTACACTGAGTCTGAGATCGGTCGCGGTTCTAGTAGTACTAGCCAAGAAGAGTCCTGCATTGGTGGAAGCGCTTCAGCGCTAACCATCGCAACCAAACGTTTTGTGCGCCTGACCAAAGCTTATGCAGGGGCCATCTACATATAATATTATATGGGACGTTGTCATTTGCTCTCTGGTACATAACAACTTTCAATGACGCTTAGTACCACCATTCGCTAGGATATCATGAGCAAAAATATATACGAAATTTGACATACAGTTCCAGAGCTACATCGTATTTGTACACTATGGAAACTCAAGACCGCTGGTATAACTTATTAGTACACTGTGACACCCATACAGCTGCAGAGCGGGACGAGAACCACGAAGAGGAATGCGGATATACCAAGCGAAATAGATATACCAAGCGAAGTAAACACAAACGAGAAGGTATGGGAAATTTCATGCCTGGGATAGACTAAGACGATTGACGAAAACTCGAAGGATAAATAGATGCAGGACGCAGGGGCGGAAGACAATAATTTATCCCTGTTAGTGGAGATATTATGCTTCATGAGTGGAGAGATGTGAAAAAGTAATTGACTATACATCAGAACCCACTTCTTCTAGAGACCTACGTCTCTGAGCGGGATCATAAAGGCGCCCTCCCGCGCCCCATTTTCTTGTTTGCACTAGGATCCACGCTACGACTGCGAGCGGCGTGGGCTTTGCCCAGTATCGGTCTGGGTGTCGATGCAGTTGAGTAAACCAGTGTCGGAGAGGGACACCACGACGTAAGAGGAAGTGGCACGGGCGCGGGTGGCATGCTCTCTGGTCGTCCGTGTCTGTGATCGTCTTTCTTCAAAATGCTTTGTAATTGCTGTCGAGCTGTCGGAAGTAGAACGTCACCAGAGCCTTCCACCTCTTGACCATCCACCCGGCTGACGTCTTCGTACAGCTCGGAGACGCTTCCCTCCGATTTATCAAGGATGAATTCATCTGCATCAAACGATGTTTTCGAATCGACGCAAACCGGAGAACGCTCAGCGCGGACAGCGTCGCGCGGGGTGAGCAAAACCTCCAGCGGGCTGACCGAGCGCGATTGCGACGTGGAGGCTTGTTCGAGCCACTGAGATTTTGGACGCCGTCCGCGTTCGCGTTCCACGTGCGACTTGCGAGGACTAGCTAGAATGGCACAGTCGTCACGGGCAGGCGAGGATGACTCAGATGACGACGAAGACGTTGTCCGCAAGATAGCATTTGTAAGTGCTGAGAACGTGGGTTCCGTCGGACGAGGGTGCGCGGGAGTGCGGCCGTGAGAGTGTGGGTCGTATGGGTGATGTGGGTGGCGAGATTGGCTACGACTCGAGCGCCGGGCGGAAGAGATCGAACGACTCGTCGAGCGCGTGGCACGCGAAGAAGATCTGTAGCTCTCCCCGTCGTCGATGGCAGCGGTGTCCAGGGGCACTCTGAGACGGGATCGAGAGCGTGACTCCGAAGGGATCCTGGACGGTCTCACATCAGGAGACGACATCATACGATCGCCCGCCTCGCTCGACCCGATCCGCCAAGCGAATTCATCGACTGTCGCGATGTTCCAACGGTTAGGAACTGACCTTTCCAGGCAGCCCCGCAGAACACATTCTGCACCACGCCCAACGTCTTTTGGTAACTCATACACGCCTACCAGATAAGAATCCGACATTAGATACGGCTAGTACGTAATGCTTATCTCTCGGACGTACCATGTAAAATTTTCATCTGCAATCGAGGTTCGTACGAGTCGGCGAAAGGCAGACGACCCGTCAGCAATACGTACAACATGACTCCCAATGCCCATATATCTTGTGCTGGACTCGCTACGTACTGGGCCGAAGAGTGTGGAAGGAGCAGCTCAGGCGATGCATACGGCAATGAGCCCTGTTGGTATCGGTTAGATATCGCGGATGGCTGAGTTGAAGATGAAGGAAGAGGGCTGGAATTTCGATGCCGAGAACCACCGTGATGTCGTATCAGGGACAAGTGTGTCGACAGCGGGCCTTGTTTGCTGTGCGATTTTCTTGACTGTGTTGCAAAGGCAGATGCGTGCGCCCTGCGCAGTTTTGATCCTACCGTTTCGCTCTCGCTCTCGTTCTCGCTCTCGCACTCGTCCAGCCTGCGTGCCATTCCGAAGTCGGCGATTTTACAGACACCCATCTCGTCTACGAGCACATTCTCCGGCTTTATGTCCCCGTGAACCACCCTTGCCACTTCATGCAGGTACCGTAGCCCCCGCACCACCTGCCTGAACATCATCCCCACATCGTCCTGCGCTAGCCCCGGCCGCCCGTCCCGCTTGAGGATATCAAACAGACACCCTGCCGGACAGTACAGCGTTACAAAGTAATCTGCAAACAGAGTCTGGTTCACGGAGAACAAGGGAAGAACATGCTCATGGCTGAGGGTGCTCCAGATAGCTGCTTCATGGTCGAGGCGCTTTCGGGCACGGGCGGGATCTGGCTGTTTTGACAGGTCAGAACGACGCACGATTTTTATGGCAACCGTTCCGCCTTGTAGCGACGACGCCTGACGGATAGTGGAGAAACCTCCCACACCAATAACGGAACCCAGCTTATATCCAGAGATGTATTCCCCTTCCGCATCTGGTGCCGGTGCTGGTTCCGCAGACGGGCTGAAAGAAGACAAGAACATGGCTGCTGGCGACATAGAGAGGTCCGATTCTGGAGTATCTCCTTGTGAAAACGAAGATGAGAAAGGAGAGGTATAAGAAGGCAATCCAGGAGCTGATGATTCGCGGGAGAGACACTGCTCGCGTTCATCGTCGTTTAGCCAGATCTCTCTAGATGAGCACGATGGAGATTCATCTGGAGAGAGGAGGGAGGACAACCCGATAGGCTTTTTCGAAGTAACAGTATAGCGCATCCAAGGACAAAAACAAAGGTAAGTTGAACGACGACGAGAACGAAGACGGTCGATGTGGAGGTCGTGTGGGGAAGATGAAGAACGGAGGAGTTAGAGAGGGAGCCGTTCAGGGAATGTTGATGGCAGACAGTCCGCGGTCTTCCGCCGGAACTTGCTTGGCCTTCGAGTTATGTAATACATGATCTCATTAATTTCTGCACACTTTATCAACGATCCAATCATCATCTTAATTACAGAGTAGTTAACATAAAATCAGTATATGATTATATTTAAATAAAATTCTAATAAGTGGAATCATAAGGATGGATAACTTCATGAAGTCGAATCTCGATACCAATCACAAATCAATCACACACACAAATCAATCACAGTGTCGCTTGACCGAGCAAGTCGAATCGCTCTGTGAACGCACAAGTCAAGTATTTCTACCCGCTGACAGCGCCCACGCATAAAAATCGGATGAGCTTGAAGAATTAGCATCGTAGCTCAATATGAATGGTCAGTCAGTCGACCCCGTACATGCACGGTGACGACGCCACGGACCCTGCTTCAGTCTATGGTCAGCGGATTCCTATGATGCAGATAGCAATATTTCAAAGTCTTCGTTACGGACCGCGAAGGAACGCTCAAATATGAAACGAGCGTTTGCCTTCCGCGGCTTGTTGCAAGCCCTCCGGTGAGTAGACTATCACAGTCTCAAGGTAGTATAGAGCTGGGCGAATGCAGAACTTACATATCCCGTATTGCAGATACGGCGGGCCCCCACATCGTCCGCTGTTCGGACATTATGCGCATTGTATTGCGATCGTGAGAATGGCGTTCTCTGTTCAGAATTATTGCCGATTCGCGAGAGCGGTCGCGTGTCACGCGGCGTCCCTACGTAGTAGTATTGAGACCGCCTTCGCAACCCATTAGCACATTGTAAGTGGCGGCTCAATCTCTTCATTTCTGCTGAAATGGTACGCCCGATAGCCGGCTTCCAGACTGGTGTGCGTCGATCTTCTTCGGTGCTCCCGTGAGACCCCATAACACGAGACTCTCCGAGATTCGCTACTCAAATGCTTCTACACCTCTTTATAATCTAGTATGTGTAAACATATCCGACAATCACGCCTGCTTTGTTTGCGTTCATGACGATAAGCGATCCCGGGCTTGCGTGGACTACTGGCTGCATTCATGCCGCTGGATGGCGGCCCGTCCACTCATGCCGTGTTACTACGGAAATACACTGTTTATATAGCCTTGACTTCGAGAAGGTCCACATTCACATTCACAGTGACTTTGGCGACCTTTGATAGCAGTCATGGCGGGGACAATCTTTCTCCTGCTCATCAGTGCCGCGTTCATGACATGGCGCTATCTCGTTCGCCGACCTACTGCGCCCATCATCGATAAAATTCCTGGGCCTGCCCCAGATACATTCTTGAGAGGTGTGTATCTCACTTTTGTCCTTGATACCAGTCGTGTTGTCACAGTGCTATGGAACACAATCTCAATGTCCTGTAGGAAACCTCCCCCGTTTCCTGTCTCGTCACGGCTCGGATTTCCAGCGCCATGTAGCGTTGGATTATGGTCCAGTTTCAAAGATACACGGGATTCTGGGCGTATGTATATCTTCGAACCTAGCGTCCTAGAGATTGACAGGCTGAGCGCTTCGATATGTTCAGCGTCCGATTTTGTATATCTCTGACCCCAAGGCGTTGCACCACATCATTATCAAAGAAGAGCCTATATTCCAAGAGACTAGCGCATTCCTGAAGTGCTTGTATATGGTTGTGAGCTAACTTCAGTTCTGACGACCTATTTCAGGTCCAACATGTTGATGTTCGGCCCCGGTCTGCTTTCCACTGCCGGTGAGTATATTTCCATGTGACGTCATTAATCATTGATATATAACCTTGCGTAGGCGACGTTCACAGGAGGCAACGCAAGATGCTGAATCCAGCGTTCTCTACCGTCCATATGCGTTCTATGATACCGATATTTTACCAGGTTGTGCACAAGGTTAATTTTCTCTTTGTTGAGAGAACTGGTGTCTGATAGACTGTGAATAGTTGCGGAATGCTGTTGCAAAGCAAGTGAAGGAGGGCTCTCAGGAAGTCGACATGTTGAATTGGATGGGTCGTACTGCTTTGGAGCTCATCGGGCAAGGTGGACTGGGATATTCTTTCGACCCTCTCACACAAGATATGCAGAACGAGTATGGTAACGCCTTGAAATCATGGTTGTTCGTATCATCTGTTTAGTGGTTTTAGTTCTCCTCGCGCTGATTGTAGTGATTCACCTTCTCAGCCCGAATATGCAGAAGGTCGCCATGTTGCGGCGTTTCACGCCTTTGTTTGCGAATATGGGTCCGGCGTGGTTTAGGCGATTTGTCTTGAGCTTGATCCCCATCGCAAAAATTCAAAAGGTTAAGGAGCTCGTCGACACTATGACTGCAAGATCGCACGAGATTTTCCGAGGAAAGAAGGCTGCTCTGCGCCGTGGTGACGAAGAGCTGTTGCGCCAAGTTGGGGAAGGAAGGGACATAATGAGTATCCTTAGTATGTCCTTTGGCCATCCGCAGAATCAGTGCTCACTGGCAATCCAGTCAGGGAGAATTCTGGAACATCAGATACTAATAGGTTGCCGGACGAAGAACTCATAGCGCAGATGTCGTGAGTGCCGTCATTCTTGCTCCATCCAACTTATAATACTGACGTGTCAATTTGAAGTCTTCTTGTGCTTGCAGCGACCGACACTACTTCGAATTCCCTCTCTCGGATGTTACAACTGCTTTCTGAGCATCCAGATGTCCAAGAGAAGCTGCGTCAGGAACTTTTGGAAGCAGGCGCGGGAGATGGTTTGTCATATGACGAATTAGACCAGCTGCCCTACCTCGACAGTATATGCCGAGAGACTTTGCGTGTGTGAGTTGTGATAGTACTCTGAAGCCAATGATGCAGCTGATTGCAGTCGACCGGTAGCTATCCGGCGGCTCCTGTTGTGATCCGCGTGTACGTCGTTCTTGCGGTCTATACTACGAGAAAGGTCTGATGGTCATTTACCCAGAGCCACTAAGGACACTGTTCTCCCGCTGTCCGAGCCGATTGTTGGCACTGATGGCACCATGATCTCCGAGATACCTATTTCCAAGGGAATGGAGGTTATTGTTGGCATATTGGGCTGCAATTCGAGCAAGGCACTCTGGGGAGAGGATGCTCTGGAATGGAAGCCCGAGCGATGGCTCTCTCCCCTTCCTGCTACCGTCACGAAGAACACCATTCCTGGTGTCTATTCTAATTTGTCAGCTCTGAATATTTCTTTCTTGAATTATGGTACTGACCAGCTTGAGTGAATAGAATGACCTTCATTGGTGGAAAACGCGCCTGCATGTATGTTCTTCTGACCATAATTTCATAGGAAATCCGTGCTAATGCTCATTTGTGTAGTGGATTTAAGTTCTCAGAGATGGAGATGAGTGGGTATAAAGCTTATCAAGTAACGCGTTGCTGACAAACGGGTGCAGAGGTCGTCATGTCTGTACTTCTCTCGAACTTTCGATTCCGCTCAACCGATAAACCTATCGAATGGAACGTCGGTGGGGTTCGATATCCTACCGTGGGGAAAATAGACAACACCCCCCAGCTACCGCTCCAGGTCGAACTATTGAAGGATATCAAGGCGTAATAAGTTTCTCTATCATTTGCACATTTTTCGCACTCGCTACACGCACGCACAGACCATCCCTCTTTGTTTTTTCTCCATGTTTTGCGCGTTTCACTTCTTGTCGCTCATTCTGTTCTTTGACATTTCTCTCGTTACTGCTGTGTCGATGCTTCCTCAGGCTTCTTGGCATTCACGATAAATCTGGGCGGAGGGTCTCGAGACATTTGTCCTGTCGCTAATGCCAAGTCGTGGCTCTACGGTGGCTATCTTAGATCGGGGTAGTTGGCATTGACTTGATCTTCAGCTGTGGCGTCGTGACAGCTGAAATATAGACCACTCAGTAGTAGGCTAGTAGCCAAGCGTTGCAATTTATAATCGAATTGTGCGATTTATTAGTGGGCGGTATGAGAAACCGAATAACTGTGTCGTGGATACGGTTCAATCATCATTTTAAAATGAACTTCAAACACGCACGGGCAGTGTTTATACACTACCAATATTACAACATATTTCTAATAAAAATTCTGTGAAAATACTCCATGACATACAGGACGTATTTGAAATATCAATACTCTGAATATGCCCGATAAATACTACTTAGGATATATCCATCAAAACTTCCCAGAAGGCAACTGTTGACATGAATTTCCGCAGAATATTTACAGTATTTCCAAAAGAAATTCAATGAGGATTTTGCATGTATTTTCACAGGATTTCTGGTGGAAATACACTGTTATGCGTGCCGCGGTGTATCATACTACTCGCTTCCGACTTTTGACTCTAAAACTGCGATCATTCGGGCGTGCGCCACTGAATGTCATATTGCTTTAGCGCATACACCACTCGGCGTTATCCGACTCAACTCCTTTTGCTGCGCTGACCACGTCGCGGTCACTGAGTCGCAGTCTCTGACAAAATTTACACAAAATGCAGCTGATCATTTGTGAGATAGAAAGTATAGATACAGAACTCTAGTCTCACTTCGGATTCTCGGTCAGTTACGCCACCACGGCCGCAACGGCGAGGTAAGATGACTGATGTTCACTTACGTTTCGGCGACTTTTGGGCGCAGCGGGTCTGTGCCGGATCACGTCCGTTTCCGCAGACTGACCGCAGACCGATGTTTTGTTACGAGGGACAGCGTTAGTATTCGAGTATAAAGCCAACCGGAGCGTCACCCATGAAGCTTCGTTCCTACTACTGAATTTGCCATACCAAGCCACTCACTTTAAATTTCCACTCAAACGTCCGTCTGCACGAACGCTCATGTTCGACACATCCCTCTGGACGTCGCTTCTTCTTGTCGGCGCAGTTCTCTTTCTAGGAAAATATGTGTACGGGCGCAGAGCTCTGTCTACATTACACAATATTCCCGGACCCCCCTCGTCCTCTTTCTGGATCGGTATGTATACGAAGGTCTTACAGCTCTGAGGCTAAACACATTCATGCAACAATTATCAGGCAACCTAGGTCAATACTTCTCTCGGCAAGGCTCGGAATTCCAGCGCCACGTTGCTCAGGACTACGGATCCGTAACGAAGATCCACGGCCGTTTCGGTGTATGTCTGCCTCAACCACGTGTATTCGTAAAATTATAAAAATATTGTAATTTTTCAGAGTCCTGTTTTATATGTCTCTGACCCCAAGGCGTTACACACAATTGTCATTAAGGAGGAGCACATATTCCAGAATCCCACGGCAACACTATCGTACGTATGTACTGCACTAGATCTTCACATGGCACTCATCTCTTGATACAGATTCAGGCAAATGATGTTCGGTCCTGGACTACTGAGTACACAAGGTAATTCTTAAGGCTGTCGCCGGTTCTTCGAATTTACTGTGAGCGTAGGGGAGAAACATCGCAAACAACGAAAGTTGCTCAATCCGGCATTCTCCATCAACCATATGCGTTATATGCTGCCAATATTTTATCACGTAGTGCATAAGGTATCTGAGGCGCATTCCGGATGCGCTAGAATGAACTAACGCCAACTAGCTTCGGGTAGCCATCGATAGGCAGGTGTCTGATGGCCCTCAAGAGATTGACATTCTCAATTGGATGGGTCGTACCGCTCTCGAACTGATCGGGCAAGGCGGACTTGGCTATTCGTTCGACCCGCTTGTAGAAGACGTGCAAAACGATTATGGTGATGCTTTGAAGAACTTATTGTTCGTGTCCCTTGTAGAAATGCTGATATGCTGATTAAGATGAGATGGCAGACCGAATTTGGGAAAAGTATTACCTATGGTGCGATTCGTCCTCCCGTTAATTGCGAGGTTTAGCCCAGCAAAGCTCGGGCGAAGCGTAATCGATCGCGTCCCGCATGGGGAGGTTCAAGCTGTCAAAACGATTATTGACACAATGGACCGTCGATCGCGCGCGATCTATGAAAGCAAGAAAGCGGCTCTTCGCGCAGGAGATGAGGCTGTTTTGCAGCAAATGGGAGAAGGAAAGGATATCATGAGCATTCTCAGTAAGGTCCGCTGATTTATATTCTTGTCAATCGCTCACATCCATATAGTCAGAGCAAATTCTACCACATCCGTCGACGATCGGCTGAGGGACGACGAGCTCATAGCTCAGATGTCGTGAGTATTACATTTTTATCCGAGGGTACCAGAGTGCTCAAGCAACACTCAAGAACCTTCGTATTCGCTGCCACAGACACGACATCAAACACGCTGGCTCGCATACTGCAGTCCCTGGCCGAGCATCCAGAGGTCCAGGATAAATTACGCGCGGAGCTTCTTGATGCCGATGCAGGAGGTAGCTTGTCATACGACGAACTTGATCAGCTGCCTTTCCTGGATAGCGTTTGTCGGGAAACGTTGCGACTGTAAGTCATGTTTCGCTCACTATTCTTGTTGCTTTTGATGCAACCAATTCGCCAAAGGTATCCCCCGGTTCGAGCACTTTCCCGCACGTAAGTACTTGTCTAGCTCCTCTTTTATCTACCTCGGCTGAGGTTTGAGCGATCATGTGAAGTGCAAACCATGATACTGTACTACCGTTGTCTGAGCCGATCGTCGGGATAGATGGGATTCTCATCCGGGAGATTCCCATTCCAAAGGGAACCACGGTCATGATCGGAGTCTTGGGCTGCAACACTAGCAAAAAGATCTGGGGTGAGGACGCTGACGAGTGGAAGCCCGAGCGTTGGCTCTCCCCGTTGCCTGGCACCGTTACCAAAGATACTATTCCTGGTGTTTATTCCAACTTGTGAGAGCGATCAATCATCCTGATATGCAAGACGTTGACAAACATCATCTGCAGGATGACTTTCATCGGTGGTAGAAGAGCTTGCATGTAAGCTTTCAAGTCAATGATTGCGACATTGCATCGACGCTAATGGTAACTTTTCAGCGGGTTCAAGTTCTCTGAGATGGAGATGAGTGCGTAGTCGAAAAATCCTGCCCGCATGCTTGATGCTCATATTTCGCGCACTGCAGAGGTGGTGCTGTCGGTCTTGTTAACCAGTTTCACGTTCAGTTTGTCGGATAAGCCCATCGAATGGAATGTTGCGGGCGTCCGCTATCCTACCGTAGGCAAAGAAGGCAAAACTCCGCAAATGCCGCTCAAGGTGGGATCCCTTCGCGGTGCGAAAATTTGAACCACTGTCGCTGTCCCTATGCTCGTTCCATGACCTTAATTCACTGGACTTAGACTCGCATTCTCAATACTTACCAATAGGCATTCCTTGAGTGCTAGTGAAATAATATCTTTGCTAGTTCTATTTATGCAGCTTTACAATGCCGACCTAATTTCCAGACGCCCTGGCGCTGTCACAACTAGAATGAGAAATACTTGTATGCGATATTAATAGTGGAGGCGTGTTGCGACTGGAAGCTCGGTGATTGTGAGGAATCAGATGCCGATATGGCCAAGCCGATGCAACCTGAGTATAAAATGATGGATCTTATGTTTGATTTTGAATCCGCGATCGCTGCCGAGGGCAGCTTGGCCGATCCGCGATTCGGCGGTGTCCGTGTCTACCCGCTGACCTGCTGCGATCATCATCAGTGACCAGATTGTACGTTGAATACAAAGTTCTACTCCCACCTTGCACCTCGAGAATTCCGTTATGTATACGCGTCTTCACGGCCGCAGTGGAGTTGACTCATACTGCTTTACGTTTCGGTCACTTTCGAAATGGAGAGTCCGTGCCGAGCCTCTTCCGTGACAGGAGGCCGATTTTAGTTACGAGAAGAGTGTTGACGAGAGTATAAAGCGAGCGGGGCATCCCTCACGAGTCTCTAGATCCGTCTCCATACTATTTGTACGCCACAAACTACGACGCGAGTCAGCCTTGCGAGGACCGCCTCTCCCTGTTGCCTCTAGTCTCCATTTCTTGTGGCTATCTTTGATTCTCCCACCTCTTGAGACTCCCTTATCTTGCTGGTCTTCTTCCCTGCAGCGTTGTCTGCTCAAGTCCTCATGTTCGACACGTCTCTCTGGACATCACTTCTTCTAGTCGGCGCGGTTTGCCTTCTGGTAAACTATGTGCACGGACGCAGGGCTCGGTCTACGCTAAACAATATCCCGGGACCTCCCCCGTCCTCGTTATGGGTTGGTACGTACACAAAGAAGTGACAACTGGGCCATGTGTTCATACCACATTTATCAGGTAACCTGGGCCAGTACTTCGCTCGGCATGGCTCGGAATTCCAGCGTCACATTGCTCAAGACTACGGACCCGTAACAAAGGTCCACGGCCGTTTCAATGTATGCGTGTTTCGGCTATGCGTTTTCATGTGACTTACTACGTCCGATCCCAAACTATCAGAGCCCCATTCTGTACGTGTCTGATCCAAAGGCCCTACACACGATCGTCGTGAAGGAGGAGCATATATTCCAAAACTCTGAGGCAACGCAGTCGTAAGTATCATGTCGCATTGGATCTATTCCGTGGCGCTCATATTATATGATCCAGAACCCGACATATCATGCTCGGTCCCGGGTTACTGAGCATGCAAGGTAATTCTAGAAATAATCGCTCACCCTCGAAACTGACCATGAGTGCAGGAGAGAAACATCGTAAACAACGGAAGTTACTCAACCCGGCATTCTCGATCAAACACATGCGCTATATGCTGCCGATATTTTATCAAGTTGTGGATAAGGTATCTGTGCTACGCCTCGGATGCGCTGGAATGAGCTAACGAATATCAGCTTCGAGTGGCTATCGAGAGACAGGTGGCTAGTGGCCCTCAGGAGATCGACATGCTGAACTGGATGAGTCGTACCGCTCTGGAGCTGATCGGACAAGGCGGTCTTGGATATTCGTTCGACCCGCTTGTGGAAGACGTGAAGAATGATTATGGCGATGCTCTGAAGAGCATAGTGTCGGTTTCTACTTCTTACCTGTAGAAGTCAGCAAATGCTGATTTAGATGAGATGACAGGCCGAATTTGGGGAAAATATTACCCATGGTACGATTGGTTCTCCCGTTTATTGTAAGATTAGGACCAGCGAAGTTCCGGCGAAGCATAGTCGATCGCATTCCACATGAGGAGGTTCAGGCTGTCAAGAATACTGTTGACACAATGGACCGTCGATCTCGTGAGATTTACGAAGAAAAGAAAGCGGCCATTCGTCATGGAGATGAGGCTGTTTTGCAACAAATGGGAGAAGGAAAAGATATCATGAGTATTCTTAGTGAGATTTTCTTCCCAATTTTACTGCGCGTCGCTGACATGCATTGAAGTGAACGCAAATACTACGACGTCGGCCGACGACCGACTGACGGAAGATGAGCTGATAGCTCAGATGTCGTAAGTCCTACATTATTTGATCGAAGAGAGCTGAAACATTAAGCAACACAAAGGACCTTTGTATTTGCTGCCACAGACACGACGTCGAACGCGCTGGCTCGCATCTTGCAGTGCTTAGCTGAGCGCCCAGATGTTCAGGACAAGTTGCGCGCGGAGCTTCTCGAGGCCGGTGCAGGAGGCAGCTTATCCTACGACGAGCTCGACCAATTGCCTCTCCTTGACAGCGTTTGTCGGGAGACATTGCGACTGTGAGTGATTACGTCGCTATTTATTGTCACCATTTTTGATGCCACCAATTTCCAAAGATATCCCCCGGTTCGAACATTAACCCGCAAGTAAGTACCCCTCCTAATCATCGCTGACTTGCCTTGGCTGATCTTTGGCGATTCTGCGAAGTGCAAACCAGGATACTGTGCTACCGTTGTCTGAGCCGGTCGTTGGGATTGATGGGAGTCTTGTCCAAGAGATTCCTGTTCCAAAGGGAACCACAGTCATGATCGGAATCTTGGGCTGCAATACCAGAAAAGCAGTATGGGGCGAGGATGCTGATGAGTGGAAGCCTGAGCGTTGGCTCTCGCCGTTGCCTGGTACCGTCACAAAGACAACCATTCCTGGTGTCTACTCCAACCTGTGAGTAGAACAGTCGTCTCGATATGCAAGACTTTGATAGATGTCACTTACAGGATGACTTTCATTGGTGGCAAGAGAGCTTGCATGTAAGCCTTTACATTAGTGACCGCAGCATCGACCTATTCTTACCTGTTGTTCATCAGTGGATTCAAGTTCTCCGAGATGGAGATGAGTGCGTGACGAGTCATATCTATGGCGCACTCAAAACTGACACTCCACGCAGAGGTGGTGCTATCGGGTTTGCTGACTAGTTTTACGTTCAGCCTGTCGGACAAACCCATCCAATGGATCGCTGCCGGTATCCGCTACCCTTCCGTAGACAAGGAAGGGAAGATCCCACAGATGCCGCTCAAGGTGGGAATCTTTACTGGCGCGAAGGCCTGAGGCTTGAAGTGGTAGCACCGTTTGTCTGCAAGCTCCCTACGAAGTATACCTGCACTCTTGATAGCGGTAATCAGTAGTTGTCAGGTTCTCGATGCTCGATGTGGTATCTTGAGCAGGACGCCTCCGTGCTTGTAATGAGTTACATCTGAGTTCGGCCAATAATCAATAAGTACGTATGCAACGCTTTCGCAGTGAAACCTCGGATGTTTACCATCGCCTGAGCCAATAATTGTGACGTCGCCATGGCTTGATGCGTGAGCGCCGGACTTTGCCAAAGCCTTGGCCAAGGTCTAGCGCATCAAAATGTAGACTTGCCCTGAACGCGCCTCACGCCGCCGTCAAGCGCTCAAGCGCTCGTCACTCAGACCACCGTCGCGCGTTTGGATCGTGAGTTTCAAGGCAATGCTGGTCGAAACATCGTGATACTTGGAGTTCACTATAGCTATCATTTCGGATTCTACGTTAGCCTCTGAGTGACTGAGTAGTGGCACGAACTTCAAGCGTGATTTGGACATTTATCGGCCTGGAGCATTCTTGCCTACCGACCAGAAGGAAAGCTTGATAAATGTATGTTTTGCCGCTTTGCTTTCAGCTGCAACGAAAGGCCATATGCACAGATTGTTTTAATTAGCATGTGCGCATTTTGGTAATGGCATTTGCGTAATTTCCCTGTGGTGAGGAAGAATGCTACCAAAAGCAGTTTTCGCAGAGCCAGTCCAATTTCTGAATGTCAATCAAGCATATCACCTGCTAGAGACTTTGGGCTCATGCTGCCCATTAAGCTGTTATTAAGAGACTTGGTGTTGCCTACGAGCCAGTATCCCAATGACTCACAAGTATTATAGAGGCTGCCAATACTGGGTTACTGTTAAGGGACTTGACAACTGAGGATCAGGAGTTCAACTTATGACTACTACTGACAAAGACGAGCTAATACCCGTGGCTCTGCCACTTTGGGAGGATGGGACATATTTCGAAGTTTTTTATAAGCCTAGGCTCTGCCACTTTGGGAAAGCATCTTTTGTAAAAGTTCTGCATAATACATGGATTATAAACTGAGAAATAAAAGTAAGTAGTTGA